TGTCTCTTCCCTTCCCCCTTCGTCTGTGTATGTTGGGGTCTGGCGCTATCTATTTTGTGTGAGCGCCAGCCCTTCACACCACTGTATGATGATGATAAATGTCGGGACTGTACTGCAACATTGATTGAGTCGGATCATTGATAAGTCTTCCACTCGCCATCTTGTACTTTGAAATGAAAGGTCGGTCCTTTTTCTGTTTTGCATGATCTAGTATGCAACACATACCTGGTGCTTGACGCGTGCGGCATTGGCCAAGATCTGCTCGTGCTTGGGAAGCTGTTGACGTCATCAGCGGCGTTGTTAGTCTAGGCTAGATAAGATCTGACATTCGTAGTCTGGGCGCCGAGTGCCAGATAGAATATCAACATTGGTTCTGCATTGATGATGATGAGACTATTCCAGCATTGTCAATTATGAGTTTTTGGTGTGCTCTTATCTGGTGGAACTTGTGATGCAATTCTGCTATTGGTTCGAGGTCACGACTATCTGGTCTCATGTTTATGATGCTGTTTGATTGCTGAAGTTCGCTATTGCTCATCTTCCTTGCAATTTGGTATCAGAGTTGTGGTTCGGTGCGCTAATCTGGCGCTGATCTTCTGCCTAATGCGGTACATGCACGCGGTGCGTGCAGTGAGCGACCGTGCCGTGGGGTGTGTGTAGTGAGGAGGGCGAAGATAAGTAGGCGACCCAGGTGGAGAGGGGTTCGCCGGGAAGGCTAAGCGACATACTTGCGGCGCATCGAGGTGCGCTGCACCCCGCACGTGCGCCGCACCGCGCACCACGCACGACGCGCGCGCATGAGGTGCGGCGCACCCCGAAAATAAGGGGTCGACCAAAAAAAAAAAAAGTTGCCGAGGGGTGTTCTGGGCCCGGGTGAAATGTCGCATGACGAACCAAAAAAAAACAACAACAACAATTTGAGGCCGCGTGGGGCCTCGTAAAACAAAAGGGGGGGAGCTGAAGTTGGTTTGTTTTTTGAAGTTTCGAATCCGGAGTGCTGCCCCTCGCTGCGTACATGAACCCCGGTAGTCCAGCTTTGTGCCCTTCGCGCCCTAGTGCGTTGCCCGTTGCCTCCACGTCTCCTGTGCAGCAGCAGCAGTTGAAGGCGTCGTCGTCCAACCATAGCCAGGGCACTTCAGCTCATAAAGTTCCCAGGTGGGTAACCACTAGCCTCTCTCTCTCTCCCCTCCTTCCTCTGTCCCTCTCTCCCTCTCTCTCTCTCTCTCTCTCTCTCTCTCTCTCTCTCTCTCTCTCTCTCTCTC